TACACTGTTTTCATGTGAATGAAATTAATCCTGAAAATCTATCCCCCTGGGGTTACCTCTTCTGTGAGGACTTCCATGTATGAAATGATGAATGGCTTTCTTTCTTTATCCCTTTACAACAGGAGAAAATATATATCCCTTGTGTCCCCTTTTGAGCCTGTAGTATTTTTCTTCTGATTCAACCCTAACCAAGGATCACCCTTCACATTGGGGGGCAAGGTGGAAGAAATCTGCTCACATGAGTGAAGACATCAATCCAAAGGAGATACCACGAGGTGGACCAAATGACAAGTGCAAAGATCCAATCAAGAAGAAAAGAAGCAAAAAAGCAAAAAAAAAAAACAAGAAAAAGAGAAACAAGAACAAAAGAAAAAAAAGCAAAAAGCAAAAAGCAAAAAGAAAAAGGGACAAAAACATGCAAAGATTCCCTAAAGACAAATGGCACATCAAGCTTCAAACTATGAGATTGATCAAGCACAATCATTCCCGAATCTCTGAATCACTTCACTCGAAGATCATGGAACATCCAGAGAAACACATATGAGCAGATCCAAATTGAGCAAGACAGGATTGAAGGCATCAGAATGAATTGATCCTTGGTTCAACACCCTGAAACACTTGTTTGGGCCTATTTATCCTTTTCTTTCATAACCATGAGCCTTGGCCTACATTACGTGCCTTAAAAGTCCCTTCTAATCATACATGGATTTCTAAACAGAAGATACTATCTTCAGATTTCATCCCGCCCATCAGGATTAATCTTTGTTTGCAAAAAAACAATGTAATTAATGCATGGTAGAAAAAATAACAAAGGGGGTTCAAGACGTAAATCCTGAATAACGTCTTGAAACCAAAGGAGGGTTCGAGTTGAAAACCTGAAAAGGCGGCTCGAATATAAAAATTGTGCAACTGAGGCGATCACGTAAATTCCTTGATAAGGCATCGCACAATCCGAGTGTGACAACAAAGGTTGGGAGTCAGGGAACACTTCCAGCAGAGGAGCATGCAAGCTACCCCATCAATCTTTTGAGCATCCAATGTCAAACCTTTGAGCATCAAATGTCAAACCTTTGAGCATCAAATGCCAAACCTTTGACCAAACACAATAACCTGAGACTTTTTATCCTTTCCTTACTTGACTATCTCCCAAAGATAGCTTGGATCTTGGCAGTTGTCAAATAGCTATAATTTATTGAAGGATTAACATTGTAATTAATTCTTTGATATCCGATGAACTCTAGTTTTATGATTCGTCTCAATTGTAAAACCGTGATAGGGGCAATATTTTTAAAACTTTGGATCAAACATCTTTCAAAACTCTTTTAATTGATATTTTCATAACTTTGAAAATAAAAGAGAAAGAAAAACATTTTTTTCAAACAAGACAGTCTCTTTAGAGTGGATCTTGGTAAATGACATGTGACTCTTAGACATAAAGCTCGTGCTCAAAATCAATGATGAAGCAAGAAATGAGGAACATTTGGGGCATCTTTGAAGATTCAACATCAAATATTGGGGCATTTTTTGATATTGGGGCATCTTTGGGGATTCAACATCCTAATGCAAATTATCAGACCTTTTTCAGGAGATAAAATATAACCAATTCATGTTACATGCATCTTATGCATACATTTTAGAGCATCATATCTATCATTTTCTTTCCACGTACATAATTTTTACAGCTTTAGAGTCAAGTTCAACTTTACGACGAAGGGACCGCTGGTTGTCAACAAACATTTCTCAAATTCAGAGCCAATTTCAACTTCACAACGAAGGATATTGGACTCCAGACAACGCAAGTTCAACTTCACGACGAAGGGACCGCTGGTTGTCAACAAACATTTCTCAAATTCGGAGCCAATTTCAACTTCACAACGAAGGATATTGGACTCCAGACAACGCAAGTTCAACTTTACGACGAAGGGACCGCTGGTTGTCAATAAACAAGTTCGATTTCAACTTCACAACGAAGGATATTGGACTCAAGACAGTACAAGTTCAACTTCACGACGAAGGGACCGCTGACTGTCAACTTCTCAAATTCAGAGCCAATTTCAACTTCACAACGAAGGATATTGGACTCCAAACAACGCAAGTTCAACTTCACAACGAAGGGACCGCTGGTTGTCAATAAACAGTTTCCCAATTTCAACTTCACAACGAAGGATATTGGACTCCAAACAACGCAAGTTCAACTTCACAACGAAGGGACCGCTGGTTGTCAATAAACAGTTTCCCAATTTCAACTTCACAACGAAGGATATTTGACTCCAAACAACGCAAGTTCAACTTCACAACGAAGGGACCGCTGGTTGTCAATAAACAGTTTCCCAATTTCAGCTTCACAACAAAGTATCTTTGGCTAGAAGACGATCCATGAGCTACCTCCAGAACTCTGAGTTCGATTTCAACTTCACGAGTTCGTTTTCAATTTCACGACGAAGGATTCAGGCTTAGAATCTTCCAGTTTTAACTCAACCTCACGACGAGGGAGTCATCTCGTGTTTTAAAAACCAGTCTTAACATCGAATTTCAACTCTACGACAGAGGATATTCGATAGGGACGAAATTTATGTCTTTTAATCTTTGCTTTATTTTCGTTACACGATAATGAGCAAAGAGGGGCAGCTGAAGACACTAAATTTCATCATTCATTATATTATATAATTTTATATTATAAATTATATATCCATTTATATCTAATACATTTATTTATATTTGTTTTCAGGTCCAACAATGGCCCAGTATAGCAGCCCGCGTAGAGGATTAGGGTTTCACCCTGTTTTCTGCTTCCAGCCGCTGCTCAATGACCGTTGGATCTAGGTGAGATCCAACGGTCCACAGCAGACCCATCTAGGGTTTCATCTTGTTCGAGACCTAGCCCGTTCCAGCGCCGTTTTTGACATCACATGCCCCAGTCAGACTCCCCACATCTCACGCCTCTGGCCACGCACACAACAGGTCACCGGATTTCACGACAACCACCAACAACATGCAAAGATCTCGCACAGTCAACAGGCAAATATTAGAGTCCTAGTAGGATTCAAATAGGTCCAAAAAAGAGAAAATCGAGGCTATAAATAAATGTAATCAAACCCATTTGGGGAGGGATAAAAAAGAGGAAATAAAAACAGAAACTTTCGAAACAAAAAAATTTCGAGCAAAGTTATACCAATATTCAAAGCAATCCAAGTAGTTTTATTGAAAACTTCGAAGGCTACAGAGGTAAAAACCTTACCTTTTTTTGTTTGATACGCTTGCATGTGGGAGTTGTTCGTGTTTTGTTTCCGTTTTGTGCTCGTTCCAAACCTCAAATACGCTAATAAAGCCGATGAACAGGGGTATAGGTCGGGATTTTCGAACCCAGATCTGGCCCCCGAGGCTTACTTTTTAAAGAAACGATTTTGGTTTTTTGAAACGAGGAGGTGAAGGGCTTTCGAAAAAATAAAATTTTAGGGTTTACCGCCGATGAACGACGGCCGGCACCGTTCACGGCGGCCGGCGAGGCGGCGCGGGGTGGCCATTGGTCGATTTCTGGATTTCAGCGGTGGCCGTGTTCTTCAAATGAAGAACACGGTTGAATAAACGAGAGAAACTTTAGAGATAGGGGAGGGCTCTCGGGCGAGAAAGAAGAGAAATGAAAGTCCAAAAAGAAATGTTGGGCTTTATACTCAGCCCGTACGGTGACCCGCGCGTCAACCCGACCCGGGGAAGGATCCGCGTATTTCTGTTAAAGGGTAAACCTCGATTTTGATCCCTCTGATTTTAAATCAGCTCCATTTTGATCCCTAAATTGAATTTGAATCTGATTTTCTTCTGAATTTGTCCCCTGATTTGGATTTTATTTCAATCTGATCCCATACGAATATTTTACCATTTTCTTTTATTTTTTTACCATTACTATTATTATTATTTTCAATATTAATATTATTATTTATGTATATATCATTTTATTTGTTTATTTTTATTTTTTATTTTTACAAATTATTATTTATACATATTTTATCTTTTATTTTCATATATATATATATATATATATATATATATATATATATATATATATATATATATATATATATTATAGTCATTACATTATTATCTTCCTTTTGTTCTACTCATTTATATGTATATATTATTTTGTTTTATTTTGTCTCTTTTAAGAATACTTATTTATGTATATATACGCCATTTTTTTTTAATTTGTCTTCGCCGTGTTTTATTCTTGTTTTGTTCTTTTTTTTTATTTTTATTTTTTATATTTAATCTTATTCCTCTTTGTTAAATATCCACTCATATTACCATTTAATTTATTCTGTTCTATTTTCATGTCTACTAACGTTATTATCTTCTCTTTTCTGTTTTGTTGTTGCTCTCATAGTTACATGTCTTTTTCTCCTAATTCGATCTTGTATCTCAATATAAGTCTAACAGCCTTAAAATCTTAAGGGAATTTTCATCAATCAGTAGTAAGTAACTGGGATCTTATTTTTACCTTTGAATTTAAACTTATAATTTTCTTAATCAAAGACAACTGGAAATTACACAGTACCGAAAGGGCAGTTCAAGGGTGCTAACCCTTCCTTGACTGTAACCGACTCCCGAATCCGACATATCTTTGGTAAGACGCAGATCAGGTAAGATATAAGGTATCCGATTAACCTATTTTTTTTTTAAAATAAATAATCGGTGGCGACTCCAATCAATTTCCCTAAGTCGAAGCCCAATTCTCGGGGCCAAACCGAAAGATGGTTGCGACAGTTTACACTCACAAACTACCATCAAATTCAATTCCTTCAACAAGTGAAAGCGGCAATTAAGTAATGCCATAATATCATTGTAATAATGTGCTGATCACATACAATTGAACTTGATACAAGTGGAATTACCATATACATACATATATCTACAATAATTACAGTTTTATTTACCATCTATTAGTAATCCTGACTTATTTTGTATGAAGTAGGACCTTATTATTTTCCCCTCTTTTTTTTTTTTTAAAGATCAAACTTGGAGAAAACCCAGTTTGAAACAGGGGTCCCTGCAAAATTGTAGTGGATTTAGAACTATTTAAATCCAGGATTGGATTGGGTAGTTGCATTTGAAAGAGTTGACGCCACTAATGTGTGCAAAAATATCAGGTGAATCAACCATGTCTTCCTCTTCTTTCACAACAACCTGCTTAAAAATCAAACCAAAATATTATACTCAATACTTAGTGTTGTACCTTCACAAATATTTTTAAGAATCTATTAAATTTCCGTTAATAAAAGTCTTCATAATGACTCGAGATTTATATCAATCATCTTATAATTGCGGTATTTATATCTCAAGGAAAGATTGAGAAAGAAGTTTTTTTTGTGTCTGAATTATTCTCTCCTATGTTATATTTTTTCTTTCTTTTATTCTTACAGCTAACGGTTGTCCTTGCACCGGTCACAGTTCTTCGCTTAAACAAAAATGATGAATTGACAACCGCCGACGCAATAAACTTGTTTCTAGCAACAAGTATCATCAATGAAAATGGGAATTTTATGAAGAAAAGAAAGAAGAAGAAAGAAGACCCTTACTTCATCATCATATTCTTCATCATGATTGCTGCAAGCTTGCCTATTGGTGTCTCCAAATTCATCATTTTTGGCAAACCTTCCTCTTACTCGGGGCCTGCCATCGGCTAATGTCTTGCGGCATGCATACTGCGTATTTGATTTACAAGCATCACTACTTCAATTCTTAAAAGAATCAAAATATATATGAGAGGGATTAAGTATAGGGACCTTGATTTTCTTGCTGAAGTTCCTCTCATTCCTTTTCTTCATGTACCTATGAATCTTCTCCTTCCTTTGTTCCACAGAAAGTTTCCCAACCTTGTTGAAACATGAATCTTCCAAAATCGAATTCTCTGAAGCTAAAGGAGTAGAGCTAGTTGTTGCTACTCCAACCAGTTGTTGATTCTCACTGCTCAGACCCTTTTCGAAACAATAAAAAAACGATTACAAATTTATAAAGTGACGGTTTCTTCATTGAATGATGAAGATTAAACAAGTACCTGTAAGTCTCCAGGTTTGAAAACTCGTTGGACAGAATCATGGCAAAAGATTCCAGCATCATCACCCTGGAATTCCAAGTCTTGTGGTTGAAGTTCAGAGTTCAAAAGAATTCTGTTGGTAAAAATCCCAGAACTACCAGCAGGCATGAAAGTGGACATTGGAGGGCCAAAGAAAGAGCAAGAAGGAGACGAAGGGTTTAAAGGTACATAAGAAGGCACCGAGGACAAGCAATCTTCGTCGAAAACAGACGACAATGGTGGCCCTAAAAGCGGTCCGACCGTGTCGGCGGTGGCATACTGCGACAGCCCCTCGGCTGAGACATCGGGTAATTGGATTTGAGATTGCACCAAGGAAAGGTCGAATTGGTTTTGTTGTGTTAGAAATTGTGGGACTGTGAAAGATGGGGTTTCAGAGAAGTCTATGGAAGCTGAAATGTCATCCGGTGAATCAAAGATTATGGACAGATTGTTGTTGTTGGCGGTGGCGGCTACAGTGGAGCTTGTGGCGGCGTTGGTGGCGGTGACAGCGGCGGCGGAATTCGTATCCCTGTTGTTGTGGCCGTTGAGTTGTTCAATGTCTGGTGGTATGTTGAGATTGTTTCCGTAGGAAGAGTTTTCATCAGTGACCTCAGAGTTCTGCAGGGCGTCCGAAAAAAGATCATTATCTGACAAATAAAAATTTGGACCACTGATCGGGCTTGGTATATCCTCCTGAAAATATAATTAAAAATACATGTTCAGATCAATGAAATCAGACAAAAGAAAAAACCATGCATGCATGGAAGATATCAATTTTATAGAATTATGATCATATAGATATCTAACAATGTATTCTAATGTATGGATATCCGAATCTGATATATTTTTTGACATGAATATTAAGATATAATCTCAAAATATATATATAAAAAACCTGGAACCTGTACCAAATTCGAATAGCAATGAAGGAAGAAAATCTGATAGAGATATAATTTCATACAAAGAAAAGGATTTCTGCTCCATGTGACCTGTATATGAACTCAAAGCATCCCCTTTGTTTTCCAAAAGAATCCAGAAGTTAATGCTACATTATATTTATTTAGATTATAGAAAATAAAGAAAAATCCAAATTCAAACAAACAACTGGAATTTAAGAAAAGAAAAATATATAAATTCCAATACCCTATTTATGTTTTCCATGTGAAATGTTGTCTTTAGGGTCTTTCACCCAATCTAATAGGAGAAAAAGGAGAGAAAGAATCACAATTACAAAAGCTTAAACAACAAGCATGGAAAGTTACTGATTCCATAGTGATCAAAAAGAAAAGTTGGAACAAAAATGGAGGGGAGGAAAATATCATGATTAGATTAGGAAGATGATGCTACCCTCAAGAAAGAGACATTTTTTAAATTGGGAATGTCTTCTTCTTATATATATGTTCAAAAGTTAACATATATGCATATCATCTAGAAAAAATGTTGTGGAAAATTTAATATAATTCGTTCAAAGTTCATGGTTATAAAAAAGAATTTTAAATTTTAGGGTAAATTACACGTTTATTATCCTAATTATAGTTTTTCATTTTTTATCTCTCAATTGTTTTTTGTTTCAAAATTATGCATATCATTATATTTTGATCACCTGCAGTTAAAAAATTAGCGGTGATATTGATGTGTCATCATAAGGCAATGTCACGTCATCAGTAAAAGAATTTAAAAAATGTTAAGTCAGTTGTTCTGCTGTTTTTTTAACGATGGATGACAAAAAAAAACTAAAACATAGCATTAAGTATGATTTTGAAAAGAAAATAATAGTTGGGTGACCAAAACGGAACAAAAGTTATAATTGAGGTACTAAACGTGTAGTTTAGCCTGAAATTTAATGTCATTTTCAAAAAAGAAAAAAATAATAATAATATTATTGGTTCAAATTTGTTTAAAAAGGGTAATGGCTGAAATGAAGGGAAGCCTAAAACTAACGCAGTGGCATTATTTTGGTCAAAGATAAACGTGTAATATTTCACATGAAATAAGAACCAACGGAAACTGAAAAAGGAAATAAAGTAAGGCATGAAAATGATTGAACTTAAAATGATATGAAAGGAACACAGATATATATATATATATATATCATATAAATTTGTGAAATTATATATCACGAAAGTATTAGACAGAAACTCACGTAAACCTTGTAATAGTAAGACTGAAAACCTAGCCATCAACGAAAAGAATCTTTGTTATCATTTTTTGTATACATATGAACGCATGAAACAAAAGAGAAACGAAAATGGTGAATTATCAATATATTCAAGAAAATTAAATTCAAAGAGGAGAGATGAGATGAGAGAATTACAATGGGAAGCTGTTGCTCTGGTGGATGAATCATGTCTTGCAACATGTTTGGTCAAGGGCTCTTCTTTGAATTGAAATTACAAGAAGGGAACAAGAAACAGTTTTGCTACTGAATTGTTGGCAGAAGCTTGAAATGTAAGAAGGTTATGGTAGAAGAAGGCAAATTCATTTAAATTACGGAGAAAAAAAACACAGATGTAAGATGCAAGGCAAGCAAGAAATCTGGAAGATTTTGTCTGTTTTTTTTTCTCCTTTGAACATGAAAAACGTTGGCTAAGAAGATGGGAGATATGGGGTGTTAAAACTAGGTTATATATAGTGAATTTAGCCACCTTGGTAAATCTCTTGTGTGTCAACACGACAATCACGATGAGCCAAGGGTTTTTTTTTACTCACTTTCAACGCGGATTTTTTACAAACAAAAATAACCCAAAATAAAACACCCTTTAGATAGTTGAAAAATAGAGACAAAAAGAAGAGGAGAGCTTAGAAATGGCTCTAAAAAAACAGGATATCAAAAAGGCCTTTAAGCACCAAGTTTTAACTCAAGGAAGGTGCTTATGTTTGAGAGGAGGTTGGTGGGGAATATATATGAATACGGGGCTTCATTATTGAACGATTTATGAAAAGGGTAAATTACAAATTTGACAATTAAACTTTCATTTGATTCTTATTTAACTCACCGTACTTTCAAAATTTTCAATTTAATTACCAAACTTTATACATTGAACTTTTTTTGTCACTCTGTCGTTAAATAATTAATGAGGTTATGGCGTAGAAACTTATATCAAAACGAAATAGTTTTGGATCTCTAAAAAAATTAAATTTTGACCAAAACGATATTGTTGTGCTAAATAAAAAATTATATTTCTTTTTTTCCTTCATCCTTTCTGTTTTCCCTCTTTATTCTTCTTCTTCATCCTCTCATTTCCATTTGCTGAGGAGCCACCTTCAACTTCGCGGATCCCCTCTTTATTTTTCTTAATTTTTTGGGTCCATTTTTCTTATCCTTTTAGCCATCTTTCAAATTCGCCCTCACCCCCTCACTTTCCTTTTTTATAATTTTGATTTCACAGCTTTCTCTTTATCAATCTCCATTCTCCATGCTTGAAACGTCACCTTCTAATCTTTCCATTCTCCATGCCTAAAAGGTTATCTTCTAATCTTTGATTATGATTTTTGAATTATTTTATATTCCCTTGATTTTAATTTGTTTACTGTTTATCCTTGGGTTTTCAATTTTCATGTTTATCTGCTGGGATAACATAGCTAAATTTCATGAATGAAACTCCATTTTCATTTTCATTTCCATTTCCAAATTTCATGAATGAAACCCAATTTCCATTTCCATTCCCATTTGCAATTTTCAATTTTCATGTTTATCTGTTGGGATTTGGTGTTAGAGTTCTGTATAGGATTTTTTTGCCTAATTAATTTTTATTTTATTAAATAAAAATCTTATGTGGCTGTGTTTTAATATTAAATAAGTCACGTCAACGAGCTGTTAGTAATGTAACGGCATAGTGACCCAAAAAAAACTTAATCTATAAAATCAAGTGAGTAAATTGAAAATTTTGAAAATACGATAAATAAAATAGAATTTGCATGAAAGTTCAATTATTAAATTTATAATTTACCCTTATAAAAAAAGGTTTACAAAGGAATCAAATAAAAAGTGATATATTCGGACGAAATGTTAGATTCAGGGATGGATAGAAAAGTAGCGGGTAAAAATTTCAATTTTTAATAAATTTTAAATATTCTTTTATTTACGATAATATGTTTTCTGTCTCCTCAAATTTTATAGGGTAAAACACATGTTTAGTATCTCAACTATCACTTTTGTTTTGTTTTAGTCATCTAATTATTAATTGTTTTAAAATCATACCTAACATTGTGTTTTAATTTATTTTGGCCACCTAATGTTAAAAAAGTAACAAAACTAGTGATGAGATATTTTTTAAATTTTTTCAATGATGACATGACATTATCTTATGATGACACGTCAGTTTTATCGTTAATTTTTTAATGGCGGGTAACCAAAATGAAATCAAAACGTAATGCTAATATAATTTTGAAACAAAAAAATAGTTGGGTGACCAAAATGGAAAAAGTAATAATTGAGATACTAAATACATATTTTACCCAATTTTATAAATTCACCCTCCTAAATACTGTTCTTAGCTTGAATTTTAATTCCGGAATAAATTAAATTAGAAAGGTCATCATCGTAATATAGATTAGATAAATAACGGATTAAATATAAGTTATTTTATAAAAATAAAATAGAAAGGAAACTGTCAGATTTCTTGAAAATTTCCTTGATTAAGGTGAAACTGGTGTTTTCATGCTACTTTTGGGGCACTTTTCCACCCCACCATAGATCCGTGTGGAATTACTTTTTCAACGTTAAAAGCAAAGCTAGTTTTAATATAGGCAAGCTTTCCAGGTTTAAAGGAAATGCTACTTTTTGTAAGGTAATTATAAGGAATTAATGAATTTAATTTTTCATAAATGTAAAATGCTTCTATTAAACATCTTTCTTAGCTTGTATGGCTATTTTAGCATGCATAGTCTATAGACCAGAGTCAAACATACATTTTTAGGTTTAAACTTATGGGTTAGGTATCTATGATTTTAATGTCCCTCCATGTGCCCAAGCCTCCCATGATCCATGCTCATGAAGGGCTTTTATGCACTTTTTTTAATTTCTGTATTATGTTAAAGTTTAATCGCCATGCTTGTTGTACAACATTAATTTTTATGTATTTTTAACATTTTAAAATTATGATCCTCAAGTTAAACAATTTTTGAATTCCTTATGTTTATAGTATTTTTTAATCAATTTAACTCGTAATATTTAAAAGTATATTAAAAAATCATCGTTAATTGAATAATATAATCTTTTAAATTTCCACTTTTACAAATTTAAAGAGGTAAAATTGATAAAAAAATATAAATATAAACAAATAAAGAATTTTTTTGTTTTTATAATTTTTAGTCAATAATTAAAATAATCTTGACAAGAAGTTAGTGGAGACGAGAGAAACCAAAATTTTTAAATATAATATAATATAAAAATCTAATGTTATAAAATTAAAATATATATCATCTTTTACATATTTAGAACTGCATATTTAATTCATCTATAGAGGGTTTACTTCTGTTTGTACATAATACATGTAAAAAATATGTAGCTTAGGACTCAACTCGTTTCCAATCGGTTAATCCTTTAGATACCAAGTATTTCTTTATATACCACTTTTTATTATCTGAGAAGTTTAATTTCGTTTGTTTTACCATCTCTGGTATTGTTATCGACTCAGATTATTATACTTATAACAAAAGATACCTCTATAGATTAATTATAATGTAACCTTTCTACTATACAAAGAAAGCAAAGACATCTCTACCAAGGTCAAAGAAATAATTGTCCTTGACCTCAGTAGAGCATAGAGAACATTTTCAAAACATCGAGAATCCTTCACAAGGAATGCATTTAAGCCTAGAGACAATTCTGCTCGAATTAATTGAGTTCCTTTAGAAGTGTAAAGTATCATTTGTAAGCAGAGTTGTAACGCCCCGAATTTTGGGTAGTAGTTTCAGGTTGACCTGAGTGGGCCTTAGAATAAACCCATTAGCTTGTAGGAAACCTTGACCCAAGTTTGAGTGGTTTGGACTTGGCTTTGGCTCAGTGGATGGTAAAAAAGGGTTTTGGAGTAATAATCAAAATGAGCATCAAAAGAGCAGTTTTACCATTTTCATTTTCAAAGGTTGATCATCCATTAAGGCAGATGATCTTACGCCTAACTTTTTCTCTCTTTTTCCCAACTCTTTTTTTTCTTTTCTTCTGCTTCCTTCATCCTTTTTTCTCCCACTCTTTCAATGCAACAAAGGTGCCAACTTTGCTAGAAAATCAGTCCATTTTTTAGATTTCAAAGTAAGGAATAAAACCTCAATCTTCTAAGCTTTCATTCAAGCTCTTAGTCGCAAGTTTTGGCCATGGTTAGCAAAAATGAGTTTAGTGAAGGTTTTAGAAACCTAAGTGAATTCATCTCATTTTTTAGAGATTTAGACCTCTAGAAACTTTTTAAACTCCTTTCTAAACTCTCCATCAATGTTAGTAAAGCTTATGATTGATTCTTGTCTAGTGAGAGAAGTTTGAGAAATCTCCAAAGCTAGGGGAAAGGTGAATCTCACTCTTTGTTCAACCTTGGGTGTTTCCAGCGCTTAGGATCTAACTCAAATTTACCACATGTAGGTCATTAAATGTGTTTTGGTAGGTCACATGAGTTATGAAACATGTTCATGGTAGAATTCAAAAATCAATGTTTTCCATCATGTTTATGGAATCTTTATGACCCCCTAAATTCATACATAACTCTTTAATAATGTTTGGGGACCTTAGTAGGATGTCTAGGAGTATTGGGGAGGCATTTTCATGACTAAAATAGAGTATTTATGGGTGTGAGTATCGGTACTGGAAGAACAGTACCGATATTGTTCTTCAAGTGTTAAAAACAAAAGAGTGTTGGGTTAAGAGTATCGATACTCATGCAATGGGTTTTGATATTGTAGGTAAGGTATTGATACTCACAGGGTGATATCAATACCAAGTTCACTTAGTAGATTCTAGTAGACAAATTTGTATCGATACTCATAGGAGTATCGATACCATGAGTAGAGTTATAATACTCCCCAATAGGGGTATTGATAATTAGTTATTTTTCAAAACATCGAACCCAACTTTGGTATCAATAATTAGGAAAATATCTATACCACAGACTAGAAGTATTGATATTCAAGGAGTATCGATATCACATCTTTTTTATTAGCCTGTAATAAGTCAGTAATATCGATACCCAAGGATTAGTGTCGAAATCCAAAGACTAGTATTGATAATGAGGAGCTTAGTATCGGTACCCACGAACAATTTTGGGTAAGAAACCTAAGAGCTTTAAGGGATAGAATTGAATTACACCAGAATATCATGAAATAAAACTGCAAGTGAGAATAGTAATAACTCAAAATAACTAGAAATAGTAACAACTATGATGACATAAAACTAGCATTGTTTGACACTCGGGACATAATCAAGACACTCAATTACTTTAGCAGATACGATTGTATAGTTTGAATATCCAGTCAGTGCCAAGGCAATTCAGTTGCGAACTCGGAGCATATGCCCCAAGACTCGATAGTGTAATTCGATTAGGTGTACAGTTTTGATGCAACTCCGAATTTCACCCAATACCCAAGGGTATTTTAGAAAGGCTAGAGGGGTGTGTGAGCTCCGAGATGCATAACCCTCAGTCACAC